CCAATTTTTTTAATACGAAATTGATTTGATCATATGACTATCGATATCCAATCAATGTGAGTTTTTGTAGGTATATAGTACTCGACGAGTTCTACACATTGAACGGTTCAGATTATCAAAACGGGACCCGTGGTGGCCCCCCACGGGCCCAACAGTACGGTCCATCCGATCTCGGACTAGACAAAACCATACCCTTCTTTTTATTCATTCAAAAATTCTCATTTAACAAATTAAAATTAAGAGATATTTAAAATTATCTAAATATATATATCTTTTAAATTTTTATAAAAAAATATATATAAAAAAATAGAAAGATGATATGACCAAAATAAATACACTTATCTAAATAAGGGCACTTATATAGTCCATGCCAAATTGTTCATAAACATAAAAGGATAAAATTGTTTATAAATATAACAAATACTGTTTGGGAAGATGATTGGATTAAAATAGTCTACTAAAAGACAAAATAGGTTCTAATAGCTAACAAAATAAAATATCACATTTAACTCATAATCATTTTATTTTTATTTTTTTACAATCATCAAATCAATTACAAAAAAAGCTAACTAACTTCCCAAACATAATTTTTTTAGCCAGGTTAAAATAGTCAAAAAAAGCAAATAGCCAACCAAAATAGTCAACTTCCCAAATAAGGCCAAAATGTATTATCAAATTCTTAGAAACAATGGAAGCTTTGTTTGGTTTGTGCCTCCGTTTGGGAAGTGGGTTGACTTTTTGACTTTTTGGTTTTTTGGCTATTTTAGCCTGGGCTAAAAAGCTTGGTTTGGGAAGGACTTTTTGACTTTTTGACTTTTTTGACTTTTTTTGTGAGAGAAGAGTGTAATGATTAAGGGTTGGATGTGATGTTTTGTTTTTTGTGGCTAAATTTTTCAAAAAGTTTATAAAATTTGAAAATTTGTTTGGTTATATGTTTTGAAAATAGTTTGAGTTTTAGAGTTCAGGATGATTTTTTTTTTTTTTTGGTACAAATAGTCTTTTGTAGTTTTGAAAATTAAAAATATCTCATTATTAGAATTTTTTATTTAATACGATAAATAGAAAAATAAAATTCCTCATTATTCTTCTAAATAATAATAAAATTACCTAAATTGTTAATTGAAATATATTTTTAACATCATTACAAATTATTAATTGAGTTGACATAAAGAAATATAATCATAATATAATTCAAAAAATTATAAGGAATAATACGTATTTTAAAAAAACTAAAAAATGTAATATTAATTTACCCTAGATTTTGTGCCTGTTTGGCAGAGCTTAATTACAGCTTATTTCAGCTTTCAGCTTAATTTAAGCTATTTTGATGTGTTTAGTTTAGCTTATAGCTTCTAAATAATAATAAAATTACCTAAATTGTTAATTGAAATATATTTTTAACATCATTACAAATTATTAATTGAGTTGACATAAAGAAATATAATCATAATATAATTCAAAAAATTATAAGGAATAATACGTATTTTAAAAAAACTAAAAAATGTAATATTAATTTACCCTAGATTTTATGACAAACTTTCTAAGACGGTATAATTTCTGATCACTATTTACTTGGGACTTCTTTTTTCCATATCGTACCACTTTCTAAGACTGTACAATTTCTTATCACTATTTACTCGGGACTTCTTTTTTCCATATCGTGCCACATGGTGTATGAAAACACAATTGACTTGTCTCAATATAACTTTGTCAATTAATTTGAGTCAACACGATCTTCAGCTTATTTACATGGTGTTTTGAAAAGTTAGTGGAAAGTTGGTTTTTTAATTTTTTTTTAATTTATAATTTTTTGGTTTTTTTGTGTTAAACAAGCTAACTTCTTGGTGACTTTTTTTTTTTATGTAAAAAAGTTAAAAAGTTAGCTCTTTTAGCTTCTTTCCAAATTGCCTTGTTTTGAAAAGTTGGTAAAAAATTGATTTTTTAACTTTTTAAACTTTTTTATTTTTGTAAAAAGGTAACGAAGTAATGTGACAAAAAAAAAATTAAAAAATTAATTTTTTACCAACTTATCAAAACACCCTATATGATATGTTACCATTCAACTCACAAGAAGTATTGCCCAAGAAAGTTCAAAACGGCCCTATATGATGTGTTACCATTCAACTCACAAGAAGTATTGACTAAGAAAGTTCAAAACCAATTAAGTTGACTTGTATTTTATTAATCCAAGCTCATGATTATGAAATTTTAATATTGATATATTCAGAAAATACTATAAGAATGATATGACAATACTATTTTAGGTAACTTATATTGACCACCTTTGAGGTTTTTAAAAAATACAATAAACTCCAAAAGTTTTTTTATATATATCTATTTCTTTTAATAAGACTAAAATAACCAAAAATAATACTGATGTGTGTAAATATAGAGATAAATAAGGCAAATTATACATTTCAGTGCAAAAAAAATGGCATTATCATTTTCTCATCCAAACGACTAATGAATTTATGATGACAAAGGAGCAAAGTGCTATTTGAATTAAAACATTAAGAGTGCCCAATGTAATTATATCAAACTTGTGGGGCTTAATGTACTTTTTTTTAACTCTAAGTGAGGTTAGGTAATTTACCCTACTATTTTTGTAAATAAAAATGATCTTTGTGGATATTTTGTTTTAAAGTTAAAATTTAACATCTTTATTTTTAACAAAAAAATGTTCACATTGAGCCAAATCAATTTATATACAAAATTTTGTATTAATTGTTTGTTGGTACATCATAATGCCTTATTAGAAAGTCGAGTGTTTAAAAAGTTTTGAAGTAATATATGGTATTGTTTGCAAATGTCATATTTGTTTGGATGGATTGAACTAGATGGATAATTTTTGAGTGTGTAAGGCCTTTTACTTATATATTTTTGTGACTTAAGTTATATATTTTTGTGAGAATTTACAACACGTTTTATCGATTAACTTACATGAATTAGTGTTAAGTTGCATAATTTTGTGAGGTGTTAAATTGCGTAATTTTATGAGGTGATTTATGTATATTTGTGAAAACTTATATTAACTTGTGATTTCTCAAATTTTTATAAGTTAATTTATGTGAATTTGTGTTTAAATTATATGATTTTGTGAGGTGACTTGAGTATGTTTGTGATAATTTACGCCAAATTGTGAAATCTCAAATTTTTATGGGTTAGCTTACGTGAATTTGTGTTTAAATTGTGCGATTTTGTGAAGTAGTTTACGTGTATTTGTGAGAACTTAAGCAAATTACATATGGCCAAGGCCGGCTTTGGCCCAAAACTGGCAAAACCGTCGCTTTGGGCCCCGGAAATTGATTAAAAAAAAGGCCCCAAAATATTTTTAGCTATTATACTAGTTCATAAAAGAAATCTAAAATTAAAAGGCTTCGGCAAAATTTGATGAAAATTCAAAACTAATAAATTGTTAATGTGATGAATTATTTAAAATTAATAAATGATTGTTTTTACTCTAAAAAAATTGAAAACCCTATTGATTTGATGAATTATTTGAAATTAATGAATGATTGTTTTCTAAATTTATAAATTGTGTTCAAAATACAATTAATTATGCCAGTTATAATTGTTTCTAGAGAGAAAAAAAGCAAATTTAAAATATCTTACCTATGTCACAATAAAGATTAAATGGATTAGTAAATTGTAGCCATTGAAAAATATTTAGTTGATAAGTTGAATTATGCAAGTTTGATTAACAATTTTGCAACTTGAAATGTGAGAATTGTGGTGTTTAAGCGGTATTTTATTATAATTTGCGTACTTTTTATTTAATATTTGAGTTTAGATTATTTTGGTTATTTTTCTTATTGTAAACTTTGTTATATATTTAAGTAATTTTATTGTAAAAAAAAAAAAAATAGTGGATAATCTTTTGATTACAATTATTATTTTTTTAAACATATAAACGATCCTTTATCGGGAGGTCATTTTGGGCCCAAAAAATGTCAGAGCCGGCCCTGCATATGCCCTTGCATATGGTGTGCAACCCTTAAGGGGTTGGGCATTCAAACATTTCTCCAATTAGATATAATTAGGTTATTGGACTATTAGTTTTAAGATTATCAATTCCTTTATCACATCCCAATATTTGGATAGGCATAGAATTATGGGAGAGGGACTAACAAATTTTATCAATTTTGTAATTTAACTAACCATTCTGTTTCTCCCTAGTCAAATATCAAATTATGTAGTTTATTAGATTATTAATTCAATCTCAAAGTCCTATTTGTATAAACAAACATGCTAGTAGTGCTCTCAACCAATAACATAACAGAAAATTGTAAGAGTATTCTACAATTTCTCATTTATTGGGAGCATCCGACAAAAAATAACATGATACTTCAAAACAAATAATTATTTAATAATTTTAAAATGCCATACCACAATAATTAGGAAGTGTTCCAAATTAATCATATTTCAAAAAAATTTATAGATGTTTCATGATTACTCATTTTTATTAAGTAATTGAGGAAAAAAAAGATATCCATTTGAACATATATTGCAAATTTTCAATTACTAAAAATATTACCTAAAAACACTATCGCATAATTCTTTGATCCTCTGACAAAAATTTTACCTTGGAAACTACCTCATAATTCTCCTTCATCAAACCGACCCTCTCATGTTATATATCCAAAAAATGGAATGAAGGACGAAGCTTCATAGAAAGCCCAAAGAACGTGAGAGAGAAAGACAGACAAAGTGACAAAGCTAAAAACAATTTCATCATCGAAAAATTATTACATAGACCGTTCCATAGCGTGGTATGTCGTTATAAGCATTACATAGCCTAATTAAAAATTTGGTAAATTACACTCACAGCCCCTTTTAGATTTGGATTTAATATATATCACCCCTTGATGTTTAAGAAATTACACTAATCCCTTTGTCATTGTAATTATTTAGACAGAATGAAGACATTGAACTCATGCACTCTCTCTTTTTTTGCTTTGCTTTATTTTCTCTTTTTTTTTTCCATTTTCCTTCACTTTTTTTTTTTTTTTAAAATGTAATTTTATCTATTTTTTTACTTGGAGTTGTTACCTTTTATATAAGTAGGAAGTTTGTAAAATGAGACAATTAACCGCAGAAGTAAGAATGTAATTTTCAAAACGTCAAAGAGTGGATATTAATTGAACCAAACCTCAAGAATCGTCAATATAATTTATCCTAAAAATTTTAAAATATAGAATAATTCCTTCTCATCATCAATTTGATCACCAATATGTACAAGTAATCCATATCATCGTCTACATCCAGACCCATGTATATAATCATCTCAAAACATTTAAAAAATAAAAAAAATCACAAAACTAAATTTTATTTTATATAAACTCTTCAACCAAGTGTCCAAAATCAAACTTGGCATTGCCACATTGAACAGCACTCACCACCTCTTGAAACGCCGCCACGCTACAAGGAACCACCAACCCATCTCTCTGCTCGAACCCAAACTCATCATAAGCTTTCTCTAACAGCATCTTGAACAGAGGATGAGAGAGAAACCCTGTCGGCACCACGAACCGCCGCCTCTCCTCCCCCGCGTAGACTGCAAAATGCCCAGTTGGTGTCCCCGGCGACGCCGTCTGCGGCGGCGATGATGATCCTTCTTCTTCGTGGTCGTCGCATTTGGTTTGGAGAAGACATTCTTTTTGGGATGGATTTGGGTTGCTGCGTACTTTCACTTTCTTTGCTAGTTTCTTGACTGAACTTATTTTCTTTCCTAGCATTTTTGAAGAGAGAGAGAGAGAGAGAGGGTGGAGAGGGACTAATGTCTTGAGGGGAGAGGGAGGTGGGTGGGGGTGGATTTGTTTATTATGGGTTTAAGAGGAGGAATGTCTCAAATATTTTACAGGACACCTTCTTGACTTATAAAAAAATGAAGAGAATTTATGATTGGCCATGAATCTTTTGTCATTTAGGGGATATTTGGGATATATTATATAAGTATATATATATTTTTTATCTTATATTTGAGTTATATTATATCATTATATTTTTTATATATTTTTTTTATTAAGGGGGTGTTTGGCCAAGAAAAAAATAGCCTAGTTTAGGTTAAAATTCACAAAAAGACAAAATAGGCTAAAATAACTAATAAGACAAAATATCACATCAAACTCATAATCATTTCACTTTTTCTCTCACAAACATCACATCCAACTACAAAAAAATCCAATCATTTTTCCAAACACAAAAATTTTAGCCTACTAAAATAGCCAAAAACTAAAATAGCCTACTAAAATAGCAACTTCCCAAACGAAGCCTAAAAAATACACTTATTTAGATTATTTCAAACAACTTCTAAATTTATATTTATTTTGTTTTAATGTAATTTCAATAATTAAATATTCATATATGATTTTCATGTAGAATTTAAGATTTAAATGATGTAATAATAACATGAAAAATAATATGCAAGTCTATTTTTTAGATACTTTTTGATTTAATGTGTAAGTGAGATGATTGATTAGAGAGAAAGTTACTTTAAATATTATTATAGATTATCAATTCGATAAGTATATCTAATTTTTAGACTAAATTAAAAAAAAAGAAGCTAGAATTTAAAATCTAAGGTAAAAATCATTCATGAAGTAGCTGTGCAATTAGAAAATTAAATCTACGCCTTACGTAATGGAATTCTAAGTAGATAGATTTTATATTTTCTTGAAATTTATTGATTCATAAGATTACTTTTGTTGATATAAGTAACCTGATAAACTAATAAAATATAAGGAAATAAAGAATAAGACATAGAGGGTGCAGGTGATTTTGATTTATTGTGATTATAAATTATAGTAATAAATATATTAACTTACAATAAATAGATATAAATAAGAAATTTTTCTACAGAGAGTTTTTATATATAAATTTTGTATATATAATATTGCCATATCAAAATTATCCCATGATTCAATCAGCAATAGTGCATTAAAACAAAGGGAAAAAAAATTTGGTGACAAAATCCCTAGTTCTATGATCGTGGTGGCTTCCATTGTCTTTTTTTAGATGGGTTTTCCATTGCCTTTAGGAATTGTCTTCATGTTATTTTGACTTATCAATAGTTTATTTGAGCAACAAGAAATGATTTTAATAATCTTTTAAACATTGATAATATAGCCTACATTAGGCGGCGTCACTTACCAAATGATAAGGCTGCCCACTTAATTTGTTGGTTATACAAAAGGAATATTATATATATACACCTAGAGTGGTGCTTTATTTAATGGATGGCCATACCTAAAGTTGCTATTATATGTATCAAAATAAATAAATAAAAATAAAAATTGCTTATAATGATGAAATGCCACTCAATTATAGATCTCAAATTTACTCTATAAATGTCTCTTCTTTGCTATTATGCCAAATGTAAAGTATTGGCTAATTATCTTTTAATATAAAATATTTCAATCTATAAATTTTTTAAAGAAGGTGTCACTATTATGCAAAATGTAAAGTATTGGCTAATTATCTTTTAATATAAAATATTTAAATATTATAATTATAATATTTCAATCAATTTTTAAGTAAAAACATTTAAAATAAAAACAGACCGAGTTTTATAATTTTTTTCTTGCTATCAACCTACTATATAAGTAAAAAAGAAGATTTAAACACCAACCACTTAAATAATATATGTCTAACCTTAAATAAAAATAATAATAAACTTTTTTTGATGTATATCTAATCTTTTGAGAAGTGGAATATGGTGAATCCAATCATCTTTTAATTGGAAAAAAAAAAAAAAATTTGTTATGAACATTCTATATAATTGAGTCAAGTGCCATATTTTAAGGCCTAATTAGCTTCCCTCTCTTCTCTACCAAGAAATATTTAACAAAAAAAGAAGTTATTTACCAAACAAGAGAGAATCCTTATACCCACCTCCCTCTATAAACCAAAGAGAGAATCCTCAAAACCTACCACACAATATTGAGAGAGAGAGAGAAAGAGAGAGAGTGTTTGGTGGAGGGCTGAAAATGATGGATTAACATGAAGAAAGTGGGAAACTTGTAGGGTTTATCATGTAATTTACCTCTAGGATAAATTGTCAACTTTAGTATGTGACCCATAACGTGCGTGGAGGGAAGTAGAAAGTTGAAATTTTTTCGTGATCAATTAATTCCAATGAGTTTGATTATGTGATTTGTTTTTGTACAAATACAAAGACTACAAAGAATTAAGAGATATAGAAATCAAACACAAAAATTCCATAAAAAAATCTCTTTCTTCTTTTTTTTTTCTTCTTCTTTTTAATATGAGTGCAACTGTTTAAAAATTAGAGTACCTCATGTAATTCCCTCAAATTAAATTCAACATTCTCAAATTTTTTGGAAAGCCTACTGTGTATAAGGGTTGTTTTATCAAAATTTAAATTTTTTTTGAATGCCTCAAAAAACTTAATTTGAACACCAATTAAAAATCTATTGATATCCATATTGATATCCATATGTTAAAAAAAAACCTTACGGTAAACAAAAAATATAATCTACTTTTTTTTTCTTTTTTTCTTTTCTCTAATTAGAAGTATAGTCTATTTGATTGGTGTGAAATCATGTTCAACAAAACATTTTTGGGTAAAAAGTAGCGAAATTTTGTTAGAGTAAATAGATTGGTTTTCTTATAATTAATTATTTAAATAACTTGTGAAGCTTTACAAGCTCAAATAGTTTTTTATTACATTAATTGGCCTATATTATGTATTATTTTATTAAATATTTAATCTATTAAAACTCGACCTGACCCACCATCTGTTGACAAAATTTGCCACATGCCTTTTTTTTTTTGACTCGTTATTAGAGGAAATTGGCTAGCTGCACACCAGGTACACATCCATACATATATATATATATATATATATTGTGTTTAATTTTTATATTGATCAATAAATTTGAAAAGAGTAGTATTAAGGATCATGAAAAAAATATCATGAAATGCATCATGAAGATTTTTCATCATATTTTATTGTATGTGTAATTCAAAGGTAGAGAATCTTTCATGATTATTTTCATGATATTTTTTTTCATGATCCCTATCATTACTCATTTGAAAAGTAGCAAGCAAGGTGGCATTGTCATCACATGTAGAGAGAGAATGTCAAAATGGAATAATTTGACATGAGAATGGCTCCATCCACGGGAGGACATGGCTCTTTGGGGGGGGCCGTCTGTACAGAAAATGTGTACCTTCAGTTTGACGGAAAATTTCTGAGAAAATTCTGCATTATGATATTCGAAAACAGAACTTTCTATTCCATAGATGTATATGTGTGTATATATATATATTCCCTATCAAATTTCTAAAATTTTCAACTTTGTGTGGGGGACCGTTTGGATGACCATTTTGCAAATCTTTTTCTTTCCTTTGAGTGAGATTCGGAATTCTTCGGTTGAATATAATGGCTGCTTCGTTTAGGTAGTGTTTGAATCAAGGTTCTAAATCGCGGTATCAGGTAACGTAACGGTGTCGATCGCGGAGTATCGGTATTGGTAGTATCGATCAGTACGTATCGGGAATCGGGTGTCGCGGTGGTGAAATTTTAAAAATCATTTCAAAGGTTTTTCAACTTTTTCTTTCCCATACCGGTCCGAACCGGTGAGTATCGGCCCGTCGCGGCTTGTGTAACGCTTACAGGCCGATACGTAGCGGGACTCGGCCGATACTCCTGCGATTTTCAATCTCAGTGGTATATCGGCCTGTATCCGTCGCGGTACCCTATTTTTCCGATACGTATCGTCCGATATGTAGCGTATCGGCCAATATTTAGAACTATGGTTTGAATTATGAAATTTAAGCACCAATTTGAAAAGAAAAATAGAAATGTGAGCGAAATATAATTACATTTTATCTATTTTTTTTTTCTTTTCAAATCTCTATCAAAATCTATGATCCATACATAGTCTTATGGTTTGTTTGATTGAGCAAATTATATGTAGGATTAATATTATTAATCCATAGGACTCACATTCTAGTATAGTAGTATTTGATTGTAATTTTTGTTATGTAGATTAAATTTCAATGGTCAATTAATCTAACAAAATTGATAGATTTTTTAATCTTAAAACTAGTAATGCAAAATAAACATATAGTAATTAAGATCACATATTTTCACATGCATTGTAAAATAAGCATGGATAAGTTGGGATTATAGGCCCTGTTTATTTAAATGGATTAGATAATGAGAAATTGCAAACACAATGAACTGATAGTAGTGGGATAAATAGTCTCTGGGTTATTTAACTAAAAATTATGTGTATCTTATGTTTGTTTTGTTATGAGAATAGATGTTTGAAAATAACTTATTTTTGTGAATCTCATTTGATTATAAATTACGAAGAATGATAACTTTTTAAAAAGGTATTATGTTCTTTTGAATTGTTTATAATAGCAATACTAAATTTGAAGTATATTTTATTTTATTTTTATTTGAAATATATTATATTATTTTACTGACCACTTTTAATTTTATTCAAATACAACATTAGAATTATATTTTTATTTGTGATTTTGCTAATACAAAAAAAGAAAAAATAAATAAGAGAAGACTATTATTTATCATGAGATTAATTTAAACATATTTAAAAAAATCCAATATGTTTCAAAAAAAAAAAAAAAAAGATGTTATATATTATTTTTCCTTTTGAACATTAGAAGTATATTCCTTTTTTTATTTTGCTAATACAAAAGAAAAACAAAAAAGAATCATGAGATTAATTTATACATATTTAAAAAATATTCAATATGTTTAAAAAATATATTTAAAAAATAAATAAATATTATATATTTGAGGGCAATTAACTCTCTAATTCAGAGGTTGGCTCAATC